GTTGCCAATTTAATTATATTTCATTTTATTTTTAATTGTTTGTACTATTGTCATCTTACTGGGTTTAGCTAGAATTCTCTTAGCTGAAAATTTGTATTCTTTCTCACCCTGAAACACTTAAGATCAGCAATACCGTTTTAAGGAAAAAATAGTAAATCATTTTAAAAGCTAAGTTAGAATTGCTATATAGTTCTGGTAAAATCAAAGCTTCCCAAAACAGAAGAGCAATACATCACCTTAATAAAGTACAGTTAAAACCCAGAGGCATAACAAGGCATCTCTGTACTTGGGACAACTGTGACATATGGCACTGCGCTTGTTGCCACAGTGCCTATTGTAGCAGCACAGTCAAGTACCAATATGTGGCACCTAGTCCGTGCCTCCTCTATAAAGGTGGCACCCAGGAGTATTATCCTGCCTGTTCCCCCTCAGTTACACTACTATTAAACTAATGTTGTCCTTAAACACTTCAGCCTTTTTTTATCATTATATGTTGAAGGACTCCCTCTCCATTCTAGGTCAGTTCTAAGCTTTTCAGTGGCTTAAAACCCAGATAGTCTCCTTGTACAATTTCAGAACTGCTTGTCTCTTAGTTAAACTAACTCCTTAACTTTATTGAAATCTATATGTTAGAAATAAATAATTTAGTTTTCTCAGAACTTTTTTGGACAGCAGGAATCATTATCCAAGTCCCAGAGATGCACATGGGTGAGTACAGCACCAATGAAGACCTGGTGAATTTGAGTGCATATTTGCTCACTTAAGAATCCTGGTACCAATCATCTGAGTTAACTTAGCACTGAAGGTCTATCCAACTGCAAGAAAGTAGGAAGGAGTTATTTCCTCTCTTCTCACCTTCTCTTCGAACATATTCAGAAAGTCATATGGAAGATTTCATTTCTGGAAATGACTGCAGGCATCATCCCACTCATCTCTGTGGGTTTTCACTTCCCTAGAGAGGAGTGACATGCTTCTCTAAAGAAAGACTGGTTATAGTTGTAATTATGAAGTGACAGCTAGTTCTCTGGCATATCTTATTTTAGCTTAATTTTTTTTTCAGGATCAACAGTTATGGCAAGTTATAGGACTTATTATTAGCAAGAATGACTACTCAAGATAGTACGTGTGTAAATGATGACTTCTGGGTGTTCCCTATACACAAATTAATAACAATACTCTGCACTGAGTGAAAGGAAATGGTTTTGACCTAGAAGGAACCTTGAGTTACTAATAGGAGAATCTTTAATAGATGAAACTTTATGATACATAATTGGACAAAGAAGTAATGTATAACTCTAAGAAAAGCTGTCAGGGTGACAAGTCATTCTGTATGAAGGACTATTAGGATGGTGTGTTCAGAGGGCAGCAGCAATATTGGAAGATAGACATCTGCAACTTGCCTACCTGTTGAAAAGTAGAATAATATCATGAGTCAGGAGTTGTGCAATATTCCTAACCTTCAGATTGCTTCAGAATATTCCATTTTAATATAAGAGCTTGAAAGCCTTTATCTCTTTAGCCTATTTTCTCTCCTTGATGGTTCTATGAGATAGATGTTCCTGGGCATGTGCATAGTTTGGGAGGTGGGGGTGGATTTAGACAGCATTGAAGTAAAAAAGGGTTCATTCTTGTTGAGTTCAATAGCTTTTGAAGACAGTGTAGGGAGAACTCGAATTTTTTTTTGTTTTTTTTCAATATTCCATATATTATAAGAAATATGGTGATCCTACCACAGGTAGCAGGATGACTAGATCTAAATTCCAAGAGTAATCTTTATGCATTATTTACACCCAGAACAAATAAGTGAAAAAGCTGAATTTGGGGTCTGTGTTACAGAGAAAGTAAATACCAAGTTGGATATTGAAAATAATATTAATTTTACATTAGCTGTTCATATGGTTTTGGTTTCCTGCAGGAGGATATCTTCCAATAAAAGTGATAAAAATATGTTAAATAGTTTTAAAACATGTGCAACATCTTTCTTTTCTTATGTATTTTTTCTCAGGCTCCATCTATGAAATGTTTGGAAATGAATGCTGTCTGCCAACGGGAGAAGTGATTAAAGTTATTGGGTTCAAAATTAATAAGCTTATAGCAAGTATCTGTGAGAATAATGAAGAAAGTCAATGTTCATCTAAAACTGAACTCTCTCTGAATTTTCCAGGTACAGTATTTTATGAATACATGTTACTGAGGAATTATAATCAACATAATCACCTTTACCTGTTTTGTTGATTCGTTAGACTTAACTGATGTGTATCCTAAGTACCTACTCAGCTGTCAAGAATATAATTTTAGGAGATGGCATTAGACAAAAACAACTAATTTTTAATCTCATGTAGTTTTTTATTGTTTGGCTAAGAATTATTATTATAGGCAGAGTTATACCTAAGGTGGCCCAAGATAAGGCTCATTATAAAACCCTATTTTCAGTTACTTATGACTCTGCCAACTTCAGCTGTTTAAGCTGAAATTTTCCATACTGGATGCTTGAGTTGGGCTAAACTATTTTTGAGAGCTGCAGCAAAAATGGCTGAGTCATTTCTGGAAACAAGATTAGGGCAAAGATGTTGTTTTGCCTGTAAGAAAATTCTTACCAGCTATTTTACGGCGAAATTCTGGCAACTCCATGCTTTAGAGAACAGACTTAAAATTTGGCAGGTGGGGTTTCCTTGGTACAACATCTCCTTACTGTGTCGATATGAGAAAAACAGCCAGGTCTGGCCAAATGAAGATCCAAAAGCCCTTAATTCGGTGGTAGCTGCAGGGCCAGAGAAGGGTAACCCTGGCTGTTGGCAGTGAACACACTGCTTCCTTTACAGTAACAGTGTCTCCCATGGGAGAAGGGGGGCTGGCAGCTTATGAAGAGAGTCCTGAACCCCTCCACTGTGTAGAGCTGGAGCCCCAAGCTTCACTGCCTCCATCCTTCCCCCGGCCTCCATGGTGGTTCCCCCTGTTACTGAGCTGAGTACAGCTGGCCAAGAACCAAGCTTTCCAAATTCACCAGAAGTTGCATTCATATGAAATTTTAATTTTTGTGTCTGTCTTGGAATGAAGCCAGTTTTTATTTTCAGCTTCTAGTGAGCTCTTTGCTTAGTTGTGGATCTAATGAAAAATGTTACTTTCCCTGTGTAGCTGCAAGGATCCGTAGGCCTCAGGCAGACATATCAGGGGCATCTGCCACATGGGGGAGAGACGCTGTCTTCCAGCGTGCCTGTCCAAGAGACAGCCATGTGAGAAATCCAGACAGGTTCCCTCAGACCCTGCCTTGGAGTCAGCGAAAGTTCAATGAACCTGAGATCTTTTAAATGAAACATTTCAAGCTCGGTGAACTGGCATTTTTCAATTAAACTTGGTTCTGTCAGAAAATTGCCAACCAGCAATAGTTATAAGTCTTTGAAAAATGTCATCCATGCTCAATAGAGACTTGTTAGGATTTGGCAGCT